TTAGGTGGGAAAACTCCCAAATGAACAAAACCCCTGAATACTGGAARTAACTCCCTGTTCTCCTAAGCAGGGCAATGTGCACCCCTTGTATCTTAAGTCTGGCCCTTAAAGAGCTTGCCTGCATCGTTTCCATTACACTTCTGTATTTCAGTCCCTGGCCATAAATGTCCAAAGTTGTTAATACAAATTTAATCTATGAGATACTGAGATCCAGCTCTGGGTTATATCTGAATTGACAAAAACGTACTGAATGACAATCGTTGATAAAACTATAGAATATGTAAGGACAAGGGCAGGTCCCTCCAGGATTCTTTGTGGAAATATTTCCCTGAATGAAGATTTATCAAATGCACTATAAGATTCACAGAAAAGTATTATGAGATGTGTGGCAACTCATCTGGTTCTCATAAGGGTTCCCTATTTGATTAAAACTGAAAAATGGCACACGTCAAATATTTCACACAGGTTTAGAGTTCATCTCAAGCTGGAGTCAAAAGCAAATACTCTTTCCTCACCTCAGTGCAAAGGACTTGCCGTTTCTTTTGCACAGTCTCTGAACATGTTTGCTTTGACCATGAGATACAAAACAGCACTTTTTTTTTTTTCCAGAAAAAGCAGYTCTGTTTTCTTGCATTCATCAAAGCCCAAACCATTCATCTTGTACTTTTCTTGCACACTACTTACTCTGTGTTCTGTTGTGTTTCATTTAAAGTGTGAGTTCTTCTAATAGCCCAAGATTTTCGGTCCTTTGCTATGGCATGTGATGTCTTTGATGAGCTACCAATTGACTTACAGGCAGGAGGGCTTCCTTGTGGCACCTCAGCCCTGCCAGTCTCTGTCATATATAATGTTTAGACTTGCTGGAGCTTAGATTCATTCTTAGCTATAAATGAATAAGTTCATAAAGCAACCGAAAGGTACTTTAAAAGGTCACAGATAGGACTGCAGGCAAATCTAGCTGTTAAGGAAGGATGAAAGATGAGAAGAAAAAGAAATAAAATAGATGTTTGATCAGCCATAGAGCAATACAAGTGCCATCAGCTTCCCAAGCATTTTCAAGCTGGAAGTCGCACACACAGATTTGCACTTGTTGCTGTTAGGGCAGAAGAGAGGGGCCAGACCTTTAACCCTCTCCTGAAGGCAGGGAGATACTTGTTCCACACTTTCAAATACTGATTTTCAGCAGACCTAGATACATAGTCCATTACTCTCTGCCCACAAAAGTTCAGCTGACATCATCCACTGGGTAATCCATCATCCATTCTGGTAATTTGGGGGTCTTCAACTCAGGGCTTGGGAAATACACAGCTAAAGCAGTGTGAGTAAAGACATCTTTTAATGTGGGAAATGAGTCAGCAAAGCCTAGAACTGGCTCAGGATTTAGAAGACAGTACTGGCTGTATTTTATTTATAAAATATTCTTTAAATCCTTTTTATATTAAAAATGACGAGCACTAAATCACAGCAGAACAAAAGATTATTCAAAACTTCAAAATGTTTGCCACCATCATTTGGTGAGTTCCAGGTAATAACCCTAGCTTTTAATGCAATCCTGTAATACTTTTTTTTTTTTCCTTTTAATTCTGAAAACTCAAAGGACCACAAGTATTTCARTACCATTTATGGACAACTGAGACATGATCATTTTAAACACATTTTTTCCTATTCTTATCATAGAAATGGACCTTTTCTGAAGTTCAGCATGTATGTGCACATATTAAAATKAGACTAGTTTCTGTTCAATCTTGAAATAAAGCACACGATAATCCTGTTCATTTCCAATGTCTGTGGATATTTTGCCCTACTCTGATCAAGCAAAAGAAGTTTTCTATGAAAAAACTAATCAGCAGCAATGTTAGTGAAGGAAATAAATGTTGTGGATCATACTAGCTGKGACTCTTAAGCATTGTACAAGGGTCTTTAGAGAGAAAGAAGATTTCAGACAGCACTTGTGCCCTAGGAGTAGTAGCATTTTTGCACTACTTGTAGTTAATAAAGCAAGTAATTTAAGAAGTGTAGCTAAATGGCTAGCACTGAAATTTTATCTCTGTATTAATATATTACATCTTAAATAACTGACAATGTCTGAAAGAAGCCTAATTAAGCATAAAATCACCTACAGCCAAACAATCAGAATCTCATATTTTTTCTCAACTGCAGATAGACTTTAYGGATTGCATGAGTCTATGTGCCATCCCAAATTCATTAATAAAGATTTCTTCCAAGTCCAGGAATGGTTTAATGTCTGCRTGTTAAGCAAGAGAGATATTTCTACAGCCTCAGCCAACACTCTCCTCATCGCTTCTTGTTCCATATTGTCCTTTTCTGAAAGGAAGCTTTGCTGGTTTGTGTTGATATGACAACACTTGGATCAAATATGGTAGCTATACTGCTATGCCAGTTAATAAGCCAAACTGCTTCTGACACTATAGCCTTGTTTTTTTGTTGTTTTTTTTTTTTTAATTTATTTTATTTTATTTTTATTTTTATTTCTTTTGGTTTGAATCATTAGGAGTTCTAATTAGGGAGAATTATATGAAACTCTACATAGGTATACTAATTTAAATTCTGTGTAGGCCCTTGTTCCCACGGCCAGCCAGGTGCAGTTGTGTTATTACTCACCACTGTTGCTGAAATGCTCTGGCCCTGGCAATGTGTCTTCTACACTCCTGAAATGAGATCAAAACATTAGCACATATCTTTAACATCCTTTTTTAAAACAAAAGGAATATAAGTCATTACCAAACAGAGCCATGACAACAGGGCTCCTTTTGCATCATTACCTATCATTACTGCTGTGATGAAATACATCTTAAAAGTGCAGCAGATTTCATGTCTTGGACTCATCTAATAACTTATGAAGAGGTTCTCCACGTTTCCATAAATAAATGTTTTATATTCAGCTTTTTATTGCTTCAGCAAGTTCTCAGCAGTATTATATTAAATAGCTAAAGGGCATTATGTCTTGCTGTACATTATTATTGAATAATACTAAGTAGAATCTCCAGACTCTTAAACTATTTTTTTTTTTTTTTGGAAAGTATGAATCATATGAATGACAGCAACTCTGCAATCAATATTAACTTACATGGCTCTGATCTGGTGTTTTCAAATGCACTAACTCAAATGCTACTTTGAACTCAGCAGAAAAAAAAGTAACTGTTTTTCGTGGTATCCTATCACCCACCCAAGGAAAGTGCTCGTTTCTGGGTTTCGGTGCATGCCCTGTTGATGTTTTGTTGCAGCCGCTGTCGCAGAAGATCTCAAAGCAATGTAAATGTGCCCGTGCAGCCGCCCGTGCTGCCCCGGTGGAGGTGGCGGCCAGCAGCAGCGGCAGCCCAAGYGGCGCTGGGGACACGGCTGGCGGCCGCGCTCCCCACCGCTCCGCGGGCACGGCAGGGAAGGGACAGCAGCAAGCACSAGGCTGAGAGGGGGCAGGGGTGTCCGGCGAGAGTGGGACAGACCAACAGGATCCAAGGCGCCCGACGGGTGGCCTGCAGTGACAGCTGCGTCTAGGGGAGAGCTGAGGCAGGAAAGCTGAGGCAAAGCTGCAGGACTGTGTTGGCTCCTGCTCCCGCCAGTGATTCCCTGACGCGTTATCCTCTCATTCTTGCAAACGTTTCAGGGAAAAGCTCCCAACCACTACAGCTCTGCTGTAGCCGCTGYGGCCGGGAAGGGCTACGCAGACGCTGCCATCCGCTCGTCAAATGAAATTCAGTCAGAGCTGTTGACAGCTTGGCCCTTAAAGCCAGCAGCACTCAGCTGCAACAGTCCATCGTAGCTGCTGTATTAAAAATGAACCTTTTGTTTTAAACACAGTACATTCTGTCACAGTAAAATCAATATAGTCCTGCAGACAACAGCTGTGGGATATAATCTGATGGCAGAAAGTTGAAAACAGTACTTCTGGTACTTATATGTTGAACTAATCTTTCACTTTTTGTTTTTAACGGCACCAGGCTATAAAGAATGGAATTTTCTCCCTAYCAGGTGACCCAAAGCTACCCCAGATGAAGAAACCACTGTTTGGAACATGAAAGTGCTATTAGCAATGCTAGAAAGTAAATTGTTTGTTACTGGATTTTTTCTTCATAGTATATTATAGGTATTCCCAGAGCTACGATAAATTAATGAGCCCTGTTTCAGAGATCTCTCATCCTTTGGCAAAGGAAGAACAATGCACTTAAGCACAAAAAGTAGCTTCAGGAACTGTTTTCACTGTCTTTCACTTGGCTATAGTCACAGGTGCTCAGCAATCTTCAGGACTGAGATCTACAAACCATCTATTTTTAGCAGTTACCTAGTGAAAAAAAGGGTGAGATKAAGCCATAGATGTGCCTAGTACCTGGGAGGACAGGACAAACACAAAGATCTTATTGGAGGCTTGGATTTTGATCATCTGTTACTCCTTCTGTATTACCTTCTGTATTACTCCTTCTGTATTTACCGCTAGCAACAATCACTCCAGGTACATTTCTGTGTTATCATTAAATACTAAATCTACCTATAAATCAGGAATTTTTGGAACCTACATATTCTCCCTRCAAGGTGGGACACCAAGAATCCTCTAAAATGCCATGAGCTTCACTTTGGTTACAAAACAAACTCAAATACCTTTTCTGGGTGACTGACTGTCGAAGGATGCTAGATCATTTTGTACTGAAATTGCATTTTTGCCAGTGCATATATTTTGCTCAGATAATGAAATTGTTTTTTTAAGGGTTTCCAATCCAGCTTTCTCTGCAGCGAATGCTTCAATTAAGAGTGATGCATACCATTTGCAGAGCTTTCCGGCTGGGATTGGGAAGCTGTAACTGGAAGCGCATTGCCCTCTAGCGCTGCGCCGCACGCTGATGTCACCGCTCCGGCGGCGGTGGCAGCAGCCAGCCCAGCGCCAGCCCCGCTCATGCGGCGCTGCCTCCGCTCCCAAACGCTGCCCGCGGAGGCACGAGTCCGCGGCTGGGCACAGGGGAGAGCAGTAAACCTGTCTTTTATTTCAGGGACGTCACGATCTAACCAGCTACTTCCAAGCTTCAGTCAAGACTTCTGGCTGCTAATTTCTGTTCAGACGAACCGATAGGAGAAATTAAGCAAGTTTGCAGAGCTCAGGACTGCCAGGAGGCTTCAGGGGACTTCACACTGGGCAAGTTTTGTGCGGGCAGAGCTGAGAGCTTGCTGGGAGGATGAGTTTGCCGTCTAAAACTGGCCGGGGCTTTGCAGCAACTTCTTGGGTAGAGAGATAACTTACCAGTGAACTCAGACGGTCTGCGCGTTGTGCAAGGGATCCAATCATAGCTTGCTATGGAGGATGACTTTTAAGATGAATACCTACCTTGGCGATAAATCCAATTCATCAACACCTGGATATTTGAAAGCGTCTGCACTAAATAATGGCAATCTTTCTGCAAACAGCTCCAATGAGACAGCAAGCAACTTGGATTCACCTGCCTTGGATGTCAGTAGGGCTATAGTTGTGGGGCTTATCCTAGGTGCCTTTATACTCTTTGCTATTATAGGTAATATCATGGTAATTCTCTCTGTTGCTTGCAATAGACATTTAAGAATCCCTACCAACTATTTCATAATTAACCTCGCAATAGCAGATTTGTTGCTGAGTTTTACTGTGCTTCCTTTCTCTGCTACACTGGAAATCCTTGGCTACTGGGTTCTGGGGAGGATATTTTGTGATATCTGGGCAGCAGTTGATGTGCTGTGCTGTACAGCTTCTATTTTAAGTCTATGTGCAATTTCTATAGATAGATATATAGGGGTACGTTATTCTCTACAGTATCCGACTTTGGTAACAAGAAGAAGAGCAATTTTGGCTCTCTTGGGTGTGTGGGTCCTTTCCATGGTCATCTCCATTGGGCCTCTTTTGGGCTGGAAAGAGCCAGCACCCAAGGATGACAAGGAGTGCCGCATCACGGAGGAACCATTCTATGCTTTGTTTTCCTCCTTGGGCTCATTTTACATTCCCTTGATCGTCATCCTCATCATGTACTGTCGGGTCTACATCGTGGCCAAGAGGACTACTAAGAACCTGGAAGCTGGGGTTATGAAAGAAATGTCCAACTCCAAGGAGCTGACTTTACGGATTCATTACAAGAACATGCATGAGGACACGTTAAACAGCACCAAATCCAAGGGCCACAACCACAGGAACTCCTTGGCCTTCAAACTGTTTAAATTCTCCAGAGAAAAGAAGGCAGCCAAGACACTGGGAATTGTGGTTGGCATGTTTATCTTGTGCTGGCTACCTTTCTTCATAGTTCTCCCACTAGGTAAGTTGGAAATCAAGGGAGGATGTGGAGGGGTAAAGGGTTAATTTTTTRCTACTCAAATGTCGCAGAAAAATCAGATAAATGATAAGTAGCTATCACTTGGAGAACTGCAGTGAATAAGTGACAGAGAGGGAAATGAAAGTAATTTATCTATGATACTGTTTCTTTCAGAGAGTCATGCTGGAACTTTGCAAAGTCTGGAGTTTGCAGAAAGTGCTCATTTATTAGTACTTATCAGGGATGGAACAGATGTCAAATCAGAGGACTGCATCTTCAGAGTTTAGATATTTAATCTCAGTTTATAGGCTTTGCTTCATTTGAATTAGCTTCCAGAAACATTTTTATGGGATAGTATAACAAAAATACTAAATAAAAACAAAAAAAAAGGGTTTCAGCACTGAAATGTTGTTATTTTGTTTTACTGTTAGATATTCAGATTATAATACAGGAGGTCTTTTAAGTGTCTTAAATGGAAAGGGTCCTGATCTAAATACAAAGTGCCAAATTCCCCTGAGCTTTGGGAAGCTGAAAAAAAATCTAGTTCTTAGCTTGAACTTCAGTTTTCAAATCCCCAAAAGAAACATGCAAAGCCCATTGATCCCACCAGAAATGCCCTCATTGATTTTGGTAGGTTTTAGGCACTTCAGGAGAAAATTTCAGATCACATTTGCCGTGTGAGTTTGTGTCAGCCACTTCATTCATTTTCAATTTAAAGAATTACCGCAGCATAAAGGGAGCCTCTGCATGGGCTCAGCATCCCCCTTCTGAAGTTTGCCTTGGTYTTTAATACTTTAGCACCAGCCCTAAAGTGGACTATCTTAAGACCTGTTAGCATTGAGCTACGACGCTCTCGGAAATATCTGCCCAAAATTCACTCCTCCAAAGCACAATCTGGCAGACTAAATATGGAAAGAGGTGGAAAACAAAAGGGAAATATAAAAAGCCTTTGTTAATGTTCTGTATTCATGTTTACTTAGTTACCCTACCAAAACATTTCTAATTCAGTGGTAAGCTAATATTTTTAGACATAGTTGTAGAAAACTAAATTGAGTTCAACTGCCTAGTTCTGTCAAAGTGCTTTCTAAAGTAATTTCAGTAAATGTGTAATGTCATTTGGACTACAATCTCTATTACAGGACAACTACCACAACTATTGCATGCACAACTTTAGCATCTCTAGCATAATGCATCTAAAATAGAAAAATCGTAATTGAAGACCTATATAAAGTTAATATTAAGGATGTGACAAATTCCCAAGAGAAGGGAAATTATGAGCAATTTCTTTTTGGCTACTAAAATTTAAGCCCTTCTGGTAGCTCTGAAGAAAAGTTTATAATGTTGAACAAGCTGCCAGTTCTTGCAGAAATACATATCTACATGGATAGAAACATATTTGCGTAATATAGGATCACTAATAGCACTAGATATGTTGTTAGTGGGTCAAGATCCCATGATAAAGTGAGATCCTCAATGATTTAAAATGACTGAAGGAACTTAGGGTTAAAAACAAGCAAACATGAATGCACTAGAATAGGTCCTTAACTAGCAGAAGCCAGGTAGCCACTGATGCAGTTCAATGAACACCAGATGCTGACCAGTCCATTAAAAACCTTTGGAACCCAAAGTAGACCTCCCTTAAGAAACAATCTTCAGATTGGAACAGTCTTGGGAGAAGGTTTGAACCCTCCCAGTACTCCCCATGAGGTGTAATGGATTATTGCTTAAGACACCCGCATGGAGAATTTGTCTCTTGTCACAGTATGATTTTATCTGTGAGTTGTCGGGTCCAAGACATGAGAAGCGCCTGGCCGGCTGCCYGTTGAGAGCTACCAGCGATGCCAGGGGCTTCAGCCTGCAAGGGCTTCAGCACTCTGCTCTCACCTGCCACGCACCTGAGCTCACAGAAGAGCTGCAGACACCTCGAGCCTTGCAGCACTCAGCTTCAGTGGAGGTTGCTGCTGGGTTGGGTAATATTCCTCCCCATTAGAAGACTGAAAATAGCTCCAGTGAAAATACCTTGGCATCGCAGAAAACTGCTGGCTCTGCAGCCCTCTCAGGCTAAAAACCCCTTCAAGGTCCCAAATCTTTATTGAGAGACTTTAGTATTAAAAAAAAAAAAAAAAAAAAAAAAAAAAGTAAAAAGGAGAAATATAATATTCAAATACATTTAAATAGCAGGCACTTTTTCTCTGTTTTGCTCACTAAGAACAGGGATGGTTTTGTTCCTTGTCCCTGATTTCTCTAATTTGCTCAGCCTGCTCCAGATTTTTTTTGCAGTATTCTTCTCTGTATACCAGTGCAAAGCAATTAATAATGTGAGGGATGAGAGCATTGATGACTAAACAAAACAATTATAAAATAGAAATCTTCTCCTGGCATGCAGAGTCGAGCAATTCTTTACTGGAGAAGGGCATGGAGAAAGACTTTTTAAGGCAGCACTTGCTGGTGCTGCACTTTTCATACCAGAGATCTTTTGCTTCCATGTCTTGAAGGCACAAACTTAAACRAAAGGCTATTAAGAACTCATAGAAAAGCCTCACAGTGGTATGAAATTAACTTCAGTGACAGGCAAACTGCAGAATTCAGAGCTACCTATGATTTCTGAAACATCCTGAAGGTGCAATGGGCTACCTAAGGACATGCTGGAATCACACAGGCCACTCTCTCATCAGTACAGGACAGCAAAATACACCACAATCTTTCCTATTCATGAGTCCAAAGTAGGTATTCCAGACATGTCCTTCATATCTTAGCACCTCTAATCCCCATCATTCCTTCACATCCTCATCTTCACTATCTATTTTTGTTCCCTCTTTCACTCAGTAATGGAGCAGCTTTGGATTGCAGAAGATCCAACACCAAAACACTTCACAGCTTATCCTTGCAACAACCCCAAATCTCGTCTTAACAAGTCTACTTATATGTAGATGAATTTCTTCATGTCAAAAGCATTTCCAGTTCTTCTTGTAGTTTCCTGGACAAAATTATAATTCTGTGGTTGTGACACTGCAATACATTCCACAACTACCCATTTTGATGCCCCAGACAAAAGAATATTGCATCAGGTGGCAGATACATCCTGGGAACTGACAGTGCTGAAAGCAGAGCTATTGCTTGAACAAATATTGCACAACAAAGGAAAAGACAGAATACCTAGTGCTTACAGACTGCTTTTCAAGCCAGATTGAAAAGGCTTTGCAAGGAAAGCTCTGTATGCAGAGCTCTGTGCACAGCTACAGAGAGAGGAATGAGAGTGCTGACATTATGATGCGTTCAGTGCCACAAAACTGACAACCCACCACGTTTTACTGCTCAGGGCTGATGGACTGAATTGTGCAGCCTTCAGTGTTAAGCATCTGATGATGCAGCAAAATATTGTCAAAGAAAATAATGTGAGGAATTTGTTTTTATACCAGTAGCTACCAGTAGCAGATATTCTTTCCAGAAAGCAATAGGGCAATAGAATATCCCTATGCTGCAAGTTCAGAAGTGTTCCGTGGCTTTCTAAGCAGTTGTTGTGCAATTTGGAATCACTTATGTCACAGCATAATGAACAAAATGAAGACATGTATGCCTTTGAGACAACTCATTGTGCCATTAATTCAGTGACTCAGTTTTTAAGAGTAAATATCTTGCTTCCTTTAAAATTAATGGTTCTTCCCTAACCCCCATATAAACACATTCTCAGACATTAGGACTATCTTAAATATCTATTGCTGAAGAATGCCTAGGGAAAAAGGAGACCTTTATGTAAAGCCTGGAACACTGCAGAAATAAGCTAACCTTCATGAAAACTCCCTCCTTTAAGTAAAAGATCTAAATTTATACCTATACCTGTATTATGAAAATTAACCCCAAATAAAACCTTGGGTATTTCCCTTCAGCTATTAATTATAGTTCAGCCCCATTTCTATTATGCAAGACATTAGATGGCCTTACAATTCCCAGCTTTAGACCATGCGCCCACACACAAACAGTAGAAGGAAAACTCATAACCTCCACTACTATGACCAGAGCACATTAACCTTCACAGCCTAACTCCATTGCCTAACTTCCATTATCTAACTCCAGGGAAGATCCACAGAGTATCCAAGTTGTTCCTGGTTCAGAGGCTACTCCCTCTGCTTGCACAAAACCTCCAAATGTATCCGCTAAAGTCAGAAGCAAAATTCTTATAACTTTACTGGCAGTGGCACAAGATCCCAAGAGCCTCATAATGATGATACAACTGTTTTGGCTATCCTAATATACGAAGATTTTGACCCCCTTCGATAAAATCATTAAAAATAATATAATATAAAAATACTTTGCACACTACAGGTCAGTCATTACAAAATGATTCCTAAAATAAAATATTATTCATGTGCAGTACATAGATTTATGTTACATCAGGCCGGCCTCTGTATCCCTGCACCCAAAATACCAGAATAGGCTGCTTAGTTTCCCATGGGAATCACGCTCAGGGTATTAGGCCCTGTGCTGTTACCAGTATTGGGTTCCACTTTCTGCAAGACCTGAGGTCTGCTTGGCCTGCAATCTGGCTCTTGCCTCATACTTTCCTCCCACACTTTGCTATCTTGATTTGATGTCAAAGTTAATGGTTAAGCAGAATTTGGGCAACTTATGTGGCAATCTGATCCTCTGTCCACTTACTGCCCAATCTCTGGTACAACATTCAGTTGTGCAGGAGGCAGGAGAAACCTGCTTCTCCTATTTTCTAACTAATGACTGTAAAACCAAAGACCATAAGGGCACTTCTTGGCCAGCACAGCATATTTTGGCATATGTGGAAGACTAGCATATTTCAAAATGATTCATTTTACTTCTAAAATAGCCTCCGTAGGCAAAGGCTTGAGCCTTACGCTCAAAAGTAAATTGTATTCAAAGACTCCATCGTCATTTGAGTTTCTTACAGAGTTCTACTTCTTCGATCAAAGCTGTTTCATTAAAACAGAGGAAACTACACAAACCTCTGAGGGACCAGGCACTTCTTGCTTATG